TAACCAGGATGGAACGTCCTTCTTTTTGTTAAAGATCTTTTTTCGAGGCTGGTGTTTATACTAGAGCAGAAAACTCATGGTAAATAATCTTTCATGTTAGTAGTGTTCGTCAAGGTGCTCAGCACAGAAGGCAAAGGTTTTCTTTGCAGTAGCTTAGTTTTTAATGATTACCTGTGCGTTAATTTGACATTTCAAAATGTTTTCTTGGAAAGTCCTTTTATATCTCTATCTCTCTCTATATGGAGAGAAATATAAAGATGTAGACATAGGCGTGTGTGTGTGTGTGCGCACACACACGCAGAACTGTAAAGATACTTATTTGGAAACACGTTTCATGCTTGTGATGCCGTGAGGCATGATGAATGAACAAAGTAAAAACAGGTTGGATAAAACAGATAATTAAAAAATTTAAACTAAGTATAATTTTCTTTTTAAAAAACTATTTTTTAATTTCATATTTAATTGAAAAACCTACTAAGTCACATATAATAATAGTAATAGATAATAGAAGTAATAATTAACTTGTGTGGAAGCTAGAATTTTAAAGGAATTAAAAACATTGAAAAGGGAGGATTTGCTAAACACTGCAAGCCAGACTTTACTGAAGTGGAAACTATCTTTAACAGCAGTAGCCCTGTCTGTAGTACAAAGAAAATATTTTCTTTTCTTTTTTTTTAATTTTTTTTTTAAATTTAGCTCTGTTCACTAACTAGCACATTAAAATTTGAGGAATTGATTAGAATTGGAGAAAGCTTGTTTTCCTGTCCAAAACTATGAATAAAAGTTATGGTCACAAGATTTGTTAGTTCTAACATCTTGATGGATATGGGGATGAGAAAAAAATGTACTTAGAACAAATAATACCTCTTTTTAATAAATTGGTTGTAATACAGAGCATGTTTCTATAAACTTGTTCCCCCCTGGTGTTTTCAGTATAGTTAATATACTTTTATTTAAATAAATAACAAGTAGAGGGGGGGAGAGAATCAAAATGCTCTATTTCAGTATTTTGATTGATTTCTTTTATCATCCAAAGCTGTGTGACAGAAGCTTTAAAAACATCTAGTAAATAAGCAATGAAGAAATGTTGAACTAAACATTTATGTTTTAAAACAAAGGTAAGAAAATGAATATATGCTTACAATGACTATATCATAATTACATGGATCCTTCTATAATTGCTTCCATACATACACGGTGCATCCTCCTGGGTAGCAACAACAAAAACATAAAAATTTATACAATTTATTTTAAGGACTATAATTAGTCGCAAATTAGCCTATCTTCATGGTCACCACTCCATCTGAGTCCAACTTTCCATAGGCAACTAAGAAGTACAAATGCAAAGCAAGATTAAAATCAGTTGTTTAAATCAGGTTTCCTTTCCTGGTGATTTAAATCACAATTAAAATTGGCTATTTAAAACACTTTGATCTCAATCAATCCACCCTGGCTGAAAGAGGCGAGCACATTTTTCTGTACCCTGGAAGTCTAATTTGTAAATTCCCTATTGAGCGAGAGAGAGAGAATGAGCAATGTCTTTACAGATGTTGTATTCTAGCTCCAGGCCTTGACAGAAAGGTGTATTTCTTAGATACAACTTGTAACTGCAGTGGGATGGCTCACAGCCAACTAGTCTGATCAAGTTGCTTCCCCCCCACCCCCCATTCTGAGGTAGTTATTGTATAATCAGAGCAGTTCTTACTGTTCTGATTTTTTTCTTACTGCTGAAATGTTTATCATCTGTAATCTGCTAAATCCGTTTGAAGCCATGTGTTGTTATTCTTTTTTGGTGTAATAACATAATAGCCAGGATTTTCAAAGACTGATGGGCATCTGACAAAGCAGGCTGGAATTTAATTGGAGACATGAAGGAAAGATGCACACATAACACACCCTTGCATTTGCACGGACCTGCATTTTGCATACTGGGTTAAGGCGGACCCTAGAGAGAGAAGCCCAGCAGACTCTCCCTATGCCTGAAGAAGGGCATCTGCGCCCGAAAGCTTGCAACGAACACTTTTTCCAACTATCCAGCTGGTCTAATAAAAGAGATTACATTTGCCTAAATAGCCTGGTCTGTACACCTAAAATTTAGCAGAAGCGTGACTTCAGTGCACATAAAGCTATTGTGTATATTGGCGACATGGGAACGGTCATCCAATTCCCTTTCAGGGGTTTTCAAAATAAATATTTCCCTCCCCAGTGATTGTGCTATAGGGATCTGGGAGCCTTCAGCCAAAGGCTGAAATGCTTGCACAAAAGCTTTGGGGCATTTACATATATAGTTTTTATATTTATATTTTTTTGCAATTTCTCAGTTGGTCTATAGCTTCCATGTCTATAGCTTCAAAAGGTTTGGAACCAAGAGTTTTAGATTTTTGCATTTCTTTTGGGGGTATTTTGTACCTTTTTCTGCTGTACGGGCTCTCTCTCTCTCAGAGAGGCCCTGAGACTATCACCTGTACTTGGTCTAGGCATTTCTGATTTTCTTCCCGTGCAGTGTTTTTGGCTCCTAGTCCAGAAGAGTTTGTGCGGAGATGTCTGGTAGCAGACAGTACAATTTAAATGTTGTTAATCAGAAGGAGAAGGAGAAATTGAGTCATATTTGGGAAGGTTTACGTTGAGTAAGTGACATTCATGAGTGAAAGCAATCGGAGGAGTTTGCTAAACCAGTGTTAGGCTGCCTTCAGCATAAGCTGGTCCTGAATGGTAACACAGTGGTGATTGGCCTTAATCACTGTTGTTCCTGGCTTTTAGCCAAAAGACTACTTTTTGTTGCTTACGAAACCAGCTCTTTCTCCTTAAGTTGGAAACCAATAATGCTGTCAATGTGTGACATGCACAGTATATCTTGGGAACTTTTCAAAGTGGTTACACTTTCAATTTACAGAGACAAAAGCAAGAAAATTTGGCACTACAAGCATTTATCCCGTGGTTCCTAGATGAGACATTGGTATTGTTTACAGGATTGGGAAATAGCATCCCAAGCATCACGCAGCTTCGATGGTTATGCTGTCTACTGATGTTTTACTGATGCAGACTGCAAGGCTAAATTGCTGTCATTTTTTTCCCCCCTGCTAGAAGTTACAGCACACTAGGGACCGCACATTCATACAGACAGAAATCTCCAGTCTCTTCCTTGGAGATGCCAGAAATCCCATGGTTAAACATAGTCTAAACAAGAGCAAAAAATGAAAGGTCAAACGCTTAGTGAAGAAGTCCCCAGATCATGGGGAGGAGCAGAGAGAGGAGGAGATTTTTATAGTTGGCACTAGTTTGCGCACATGTGGACTTTCTCGGTTATGAAAGCAGAGACTGAACTTTCCTGGTAATACTGCCTGAAAGCCAGGGTTGAGATGCATTAAGAAAAAAGCACATATTTGCATTGTGGCTGTACATGCTGTATACGTTGTGTGGTTTAATAGGACCTTGATCTCAGGAGTCGTCCTGGCACTTTTTACCACCACAAAATTCACTTAATGTTGGGGAAAAAAAGAAGAAAAAACCCAAATTCAGCTATATTTGGATGGTATCAAGTGGAGACAGGCAGCCACCTGATTTGACAGGAGAATATTGCACCAACTTTTCTAATTTTGTTCATCAGCTGCTTGCAGTAGGTGAGAGAGTTAGAAAGGGGCGTTCAGCAGGAGCTGGTCAAGGTCTTTCATTTTAGTCACTGAAACTCCAAAAGATAGCACGGGGGCAGTTAAAAAAGGGGGTGAGGGAGTGGGACTTGTACAAAAGCAGTATAGAAAGTAGGCTCTAGGCCTCCTCTTATTCCTAAAGTGGCCTTTGCAATATGCACAGTTCTGCTTGCGGTCTTCCAACAAGCAAAGCTTAAGGCTTCTTCCTCTCATCTTTTATAGTTTGTTTCAAAGGTGTTAGAGCTTGTGTGTGTATACAGCCCCTCAGCATATATACTACACATGCATATTGACCGCATTTAGTTGTATAAAAGCCACGTTTCCCCCTGCTAAAATTTTGCTACCAAAAACTGGAGTGCAGCGATTAGTCACACCCTAGAGCAGGGGCGGTCTCTGGCTGGGGCACACAGCAGACCAGGGAGAGGACGAGCAGCACAGCAGCCCAAAGCAGACTGTACAGAGGAGGGGGATCAGTGATGCTCAGGGAGGGCGCAGACCTAATTTGCAACATGCCTGCCAAAAAACCTGGCCCCCACTGCCCTAGAGCAAGGCTAAGGCAGTATCAGGACTAGATAGAAATGTTTGAGCATCTCTGTACTTCCCCACCTGGCATCTTCTTACAGACAAGACTAAAAGGAGCGTGAAACTAATGCACCCCATCTTTTTAGACACATCTCTTTTGATTTGGTTTCTTTACAATTTGGGTGTTAAAGGAGTAAGTTCTTTTCCAATTTTTCAAGGAAACATTCACGAGCGCGGCTGTTACTTGAGTGTGGCTATTATGTGGGGATTTGATAGATCCTTTAACAAAACATAAATAAAAATGTAACCAATATAGCCAAGCCTTTGAGCATAAATTGGTATTTTGGATGCCTTTGGAAAGTTTAACCCTAATTTTATTTCAGTTATTGGCTGTACATCCGCATAGAAAACTACGTGTAGTTTAGTATCTCTGCAGGAGAATGATACAAAATTCAGTGTACATCAGGGGTTTTGAATTTAAATGATGCATTTTTATTTAATGTAACAGTCTGTCAGTGGTATTTTACCTAGCACAGCAGTACCTAAAAACATAAATATATTTTAGAAGTCAGTCCAGTGAATTTGCACATCTGGGTTGATTGAAATGAAATATGTAATTTCAAGCCAGCTTCACCCTGTGAGCTTCAGTCTCTTCTCTAGGTTTCAGAAGGTGTTTGTCTCTCAAATGTTCAGAAAGGGCATTTTTATAAAATGACGCATATTTTGCCTTTTCATCTAAACAGTTTTGTTTATTGCTAGCCGAGGTGACTGTGAGGCTTAATGGCTCAGTTGACTGTTTCATGAACTGTTCCTAATGAGCATTATGTTATTTTCCCCTTTCATTTCTGTAGGCTGTTCAATTAACCCCTCAACGATGGCTGAACCTACAGGAATATCAGAGTAAAAAACTGATGGCAGACCATGGGGTTACAGTTCAGAGATTCTTCGTGGCTGATACTGCAAATGATGCCCTGGAGGCTGCGAAGAGACTAAGTAAGTTGACCAATAATGGGAGAAATCTACTTTACCAGATACCAGTCTGGAAAAGAAATTTCCTCCTCTTTAGTTGGTACACAGTCTTAAAGTTGATGTTCATTGTAGTGATGTGAAATATGATCAAAGCCTATAAAAGTATATTTCATGCCATGTGTGAAGAAAGCTTTATAACAGCAATATTTTCCAGAGCTTTGTTTTTATTAAATAACATGACGTCTTTAATTAACATGGTTTGTATTGGTTTTAAGAATGAAGAATCAAGCATGTAACATCATAACTGGCTGTTCCGGAAATCATTGTGATGCCATACACAGGATAAAGACTTGTGGGAATAAAGGAGAGAAACAGCTGAACTTGCTAAAAAAGAGACTTTGCAAGCAAAAGTGTTGTAATAAAGGACAGGGGAAGAAAAACAACTAACATGGAAACAACTACAATTGCTTTTAAATAGAAATTACTCATTTACAAAGTGGGTTTGTCCATCAAGGGAAAAGGAGAGACAGAGGTAAAATGAATTGTCAGCACCACAGCAGGAGCCTGTGACCAAGGCCAGTAAAGAAATCCTGATGCCTTGAATCCCAGTGCTGCGATTTCACTATGTTCCCTATTAAAATTGTGATGCACTGGCGGGTAGAATTTGGCCTAGAGTATCCAAGTGAAAAGCATCCCTCTGTCAGATGGACTTGAGATCAAACCTACACAGAAGCCGTTCTGTCCAAAAGAGCTAAGTTAAAAATTGCTTCACTTCCCAGCATCCCCAAATCATCTTGCTGGATTCTGGTTTTGTATTCAATAGCATCTCACTTTGTTTTTCTGTCATGCGGTTCCTAATGAGAATTGATAGACTGTCCATCAGTAATGCACACAGGGTGGTGCCAGTCATCTGGCAACTGCCTCTTTATCCATAAGAGCTCTTTGTGCTTCTCACATTTTTTCACATAATGGCAAGATGTATAAATACATCCCCTAGTTGCGTGTTCTTAGATTTTATGCGTGTATTTTATACAGAGACCTAAACAGGAAGGCAATTGCTGTACTAGCTGATTAAGCCCTTTTCGCATCATGAGGATTGTATGCTTGTCAATAAACCTGTTTATAGTAACTAGAATGCCAAGTGATAGATTTTGAAAATCTATTTCAGACGTGCATATTTACATGTTTCTCTTCTGGGCATGTTTCTCTCTTTTGCATTTTTCAATGCAAAAAGAATAAATCTTTTTGCATTGAAAAATGCTGGGATGTAACACAATGCACAATGGGTGCATCTATACACTGTCCTACAGCACTGTAGTAGTCATGTGCATCAACACATTACCGGCAGCTGCTTCGCCCTAGCGGCGCGCTCCCTCATTATAGCGCACTGCTATGGCAAAGTGGCGGCTTAATTTAACTGCGCACGGTGCCATGCGGGCACTTACTACCTCCAAAAGGAAGTACTAAAGCAGAGCGCAGTAACAATGTTGCCATAAGTTGACATGTAGATGCACCCAATGATTCTTAAAAAAGAAAATAGTCTGAATAAGCCATTTTCTGAATGGCTTTTCTATATAAGGGAGCTGGAAAAGTTCCTGTTAATGCCCCAAACTTCAAGCCCTTAAGCTGTGTCTGGGTGCTCTCATTCAGGAGAAAAGTGGCCTTAGATCCCTGCAGCTTTTTCCTCCAGAAGATTCAACTACAGTGATTTGGAGCCACTGAATGAGGACCATCTTCAAGGGGGTTTAATATAATTATAAATCAAGTCATGGGTGTGGCACCTGTGGTTAAATCAGCTTAATTTTCCTGAGTGTCCCTGTGCAGACAGAGGCTAATACAGGTGCATGATTGTTGCAAGAAGCTGAGAAGGTAGGTGCTTTTGATTTGGCTTGTCTTAAAATACAGCAATTTTCTTATCAAGTGATTTTTTTTTTTTTTGCAGTGTTTAGCTTTCTGATTACATGCTTCAGATTCTTTTATGCTGTCTGCAATCTGCCTGAAAAGTGCACTTTAATAACATTAGAAAAGCATGGAACATGTAAATGCAAATTGTAGGGCACTTCGAAGGAACAGTGTACAGCTGTATGTATGGGAGTTTTCTCTGCATTTTAATATGGTTGTCCCTGTTTTTAGCGTGTTTCAGTTCTGCTACAAAAAGAAAATGTCGTCTGGAATAATGAAAGAAAAGAAAATGCAGCCATGTCTTATTTCAGTGAGGGACAACCCTTTTCGGCTGGTATGCCACTAAAGACCCCTGTGCCTTCCCCAAAGGCGCTACCGCTCTGATCCCTCCCCCTGTCTGAGCTGCTGCTCTGCTTTCTGTTTCCTGTCTTGTGCTCTCTGGCTGTGCTTTTCTGCCCTATCTGCTACTATGTTGCCTGTCCTGTCCTCGGTCCTCAGCGTGCCATACACTGTGCCACTTCCGGCATACATGCCACAGGTTGGTCACCTCTGTTGTTTCTCACGGCAGTAACTGAAATGGTCAGTCTGAACACTGGACTACCATAGTAACTTTTATTAGGATTTGTTCATTGACATTTACCAAGCATCCTGTTAGAGTGGACCTCTGGACAGTAAAAAAAATAAATTACATTTTTTTTTAGAAAATATAATGTCAGTGAGATTCAGAGGTCAGGTTCTGCCTTCAACTTACAGTATTTCCACACAACCTTACTGGGCTCTGGTCATCTGAATTAGGTTCAAGCTTGTAATGCAAACTGAAGTTTCCTTTCCTTTGTTTCTTCTCTTGGAATGATCTTTTACTGTAATTCCAGTACTGATCCTAGACTCCAGTTCAGAGCCTCTTGCTATCACCATTTGATTTCTCTCTCTAAGAATTAGTTAGGTGGTAGTTTGGCGGGGGGGAGAGGGTTCTTTCAGACATGTTTTTAGATCTGTCTCTCTCTGTTTCTTCTGCCTGAAGGCTGGGTTACCTTCCCAGGTTATTTCAGGAAACATGATTGATATTTCATAGATTAGTAGACAGGGCCAGTAAGTTTTTTTGATATTTTAATAACAGAGTCATTTTCACTGAGGTTACCCATACTCTTTAAATAAAGAGCAGTGCAAGTGCATACATACATTCCATTTGAAACTCCTTCTACTCTTCTTCTGGGCAGCTAGATAGAGATATTTAATCCCCAAAGGAAATTTTGAATTCTGTTTGCTCTGGTGTAGTACTTGTTTCTTTTCTAAATGGCAGATCTAGGCTGCTGGATTTGTAATCCTTAAACCATCTTTACTTTATGTCCCTCCTCTACTAAGAGCTGCTATTTTGATGTGGTCCTCAAGTTATAGAGGTAAATATCAGTGCTGTGCTGAAACCATATGACATTTTATCAGATAAGGCAAAAATTAGGCATTCTCAGTGTGCCAGTTCTTAACCTCACTCTCTTGAAGGCAGTTTAGTTTTATGTAGGGTTGGTAGTATAGTGGAATTACTATCATCTTGCTTCAAACTTGAAATGTGGTACTACATGGGTGAACATCAGGAAAGGGCAAATAGAGCTAGTCTGTATAACAGAGGCAAAAATAATAGCTTGTCCTCCTAATCACTTGCGTGTCCTAAAAAAAAGATGAAACTTAAGTTGAATAAAGGTCTTATTGCTTGCATAGTTGCAGTTTATTAATGATGTTGCTATTGATTGTGGCATGTAAATCACAGGAATATTGATCTGCTGAGAAAACTATATTGAAAATATTTTTAACTTGGAAAGAAAAATGAAATATAAAAGTGGAAACTAATTATCTCTCATAATCAAACTGCTGCATGTGAACTACATGCAGTGTTCTTATTGGACTTGGCTGGCTTGTCAACATTTTCAGCTACAAAAATGTTTCGATCAGTCACAGTGATAACTTACTCTTTTCATTTTATATAATTGCATCAACAGCAGTGGTGAATTGCTGTGCCAATAAGGAATTGTGCTTTGCAGTATGAAAATTGTTTCATGTTGAAATGAATGACATACTCCATTGATTTGTTAAATAATTAACAACATCCTCATAATCATTTTACATGTTTTGCTGTCATCGTGTCACAATCCTTGGTTTGCTAACCCAGAAGCAAGAGCGTAGTGCTGCTGCTGTCTGGATCATTACATTAGAGTTGCAGACCATCTTTGTCTGTCCTGTATCCAATCAGCTCACTGACACTGCTGTCATTTGGACATCACTTTCACATGCAAGGAGCAACTTAGAATACTTACAACATTCCCCTAATATGACTGGGCTAGATGAGTTAGAGAGACAACATTTATCTGCAAAATAAAAAGAGACAGCCTACAAGTTAAAAAAAATGCCTCCAGATTGTGTTTGGAGGCTACTTTGCAAGGTCCTTGGAGATATACCAGGTGGTATTTCATGAAGAGTTTCTGAACTGATAAGCCTCCAACCACAGCCTGGTTCAGTTCAGACTTCTGGGAAGAGAATAAAGGCATTTTTACTGTTAAGGGAAATTGTTCGATTTGTGCAAAAGAGTCTGAACAGGAGTGTTACATCGTAATATGCCACCTGGTAACAACCTTCAATTGAATGTGTCAGGTATTTTAATAACACTGATTATTTTCAGTCTTTCAAAGAAATTGCGTGTTAGACATCTATCTACATAATTCCAGGTTAAAAAGATAAGATAGTTATCATATCATGAAATACCCTTTCACACTTTTTTTTTTCCTTACTATATGGAAAGGTCTTAATTCAGTTCATCTGCATAAAGACAGGAAAAGTGGGGGTTTATTGGTACAGTTTCAGAGGATAATACCTTCAATGTGGTAAATAAGAGGCAAAGACTGTGACAGAATTTGCAGAGAGTTGTGCTTTATTCACAGGTAAATTATAGGAGTCATCTAAATGCTATTTCTTGAGAAGACTGATTTTGCTCTTAGATCATACTGCTTTGGGTATGGTCAACAAAGATGCTAGTATTGGATTTACCTTCACTCGATGGGGGGAGCTGCCAAAAGGGCATTATTTGTTGCGATCTCAGTTGTCAAGTATTATGCAGGCCTACGTGAAAAGATATC